TGAACGTCTAACCATTTGCAGATGTAACTATAAAGGCAGCACATTCTCCTCAGCTATTTTAAGACCCTGAGCGTTGGTCCAGTACTTCGACCTCTCCGCACAGCAGTCTGGCGCTCTATCTCGGGAGGGGTCTATCATATAAAAAGGACGGGGCCTGCTCGTCGGAAATTTTGAAAAGAACCCCTAAGAGGTACCAAGATCCTGTTTTGTGGGCGTGGCTTGATTTTTTTTTTTTTTACCCCTAAGCGGTGCCAATTCTAAAGCAACACAGGATCTCCTGTCATATTAGTTTTCGGCTCAATACCCTAAAAGGTACCGCAAAAAGCTCCCGCTATAGACCTTTTGAGGCTGAATCCTAAGAGGTACTAAAACCGCGCTTTTTTAACCCCTAAATGGTACAAGCACCCGCGTCCTTTTTATATGGGAGCTCGAGTCACCCCCTCCCCCCCGGGACTCTGCCAACTGTGCTGACCAAGTGGTTAGCTCTTTTTCTGCTTGGTGATGGACGAGAGTCTGAACCTGCTTGCACGAACCTGCAATGTGGCAGACGTCGTATGTGTCGTACTTTGTCACGTGGAACGTTTACGCGTAATCAAATTTTCAGTCAAATCACTTGAATTCCAACTTTCTACCATTTATTCGGGAGAGAGGATCAAACTACAGAAGCCTACAGAAATTTCGTAAGGTTCCAAGGAGTACTCAAATGCTGCAAATAAACGAACTGTTTTGGAATAATTAAATATTTTTAAAAGATTATTAATAGACTTTCAGAAAAATCCTTCATATTGTTCAGTAGTTCAGTTATCCATGACCCGCCGGACGAGGGACTTGATTGCCGCCAATTTTAGATAGGGTCCGAAAGTGCTCACGAGTGACCACGAGTGACCAAGCACGAGCGACCCTAACCCTAACCCTTTTCACATACTTTTCAACGTTTTCTTGGAGCAGACCTTAAGGGTATTTTTGCAAGCCTTTTGACGAAAGACTCATTAGAAGTTGCTGATGGTATATCTGTTTTCAGAGTTGATCCTGTCGGATTGTTTGAGTTATATTTGCTTCTAAAGCATTCCAGTCCTAAGTTTAACACAGACGACTTTTTGTCCAAAGACTCCACACGTCTGAAGCAGGATTTACAGATTCGACAAGATTGCCTTTCGACATCGATCGTTTGGAGGATTAATTATAGGAGATCTTCTTAGCCATCTTGGCTCAGTAAATTGTAGGTACTTCTCGCGCCGTACAAATTTATCCCACAACAGAGGCAGCACGAGTCCTTTTCATTTTTTACCTGAACTCTTCTTATTCCAATTTTAGTTGGAGTTTGAGGCGAACAGGAACTAGGGGAAGAACGCAAAACTTTCGACTTTTTCTCAGGCGTCTTACACGACGGTCACCTCAAAACGCAGACCATGCAGACTGCAGACCATGCAGACTGCAGACCATGCAGACTGCAGACCATGCAGACCGTGCAGACCATGCAGACTGTGCAGACTGAGTACTTTTTTTCTAACACTTGACTCACTTTTGTCGCTTCTAGTGACAAAATAGTGTTCAATATGTCCTAGTGTTTGTTATTTATCTACAGGCGGCACAAACTCAACATCTGACTGTTGATTCACGCGTTTAATAGACTTTCTATGGGGAATTTCCTTTACTGGTCCTAAATGTACTAAAATCAAGCATAAAAATAAACTTCCATGCATTCTGTGCGCAAATTGCGTCAATTTTTGACGGGTTTCTGGTTTTATTTATTTTGTCTAATTTGTTGTTGTTGTGGTGGTTTTTTTTCGATTTTCTTAGTCTTCGTTCTCCTCTTAACTGATTCATAAAACAAAGCAAGGACGGTGACTCTAAGCGACCTTGTCCCACAAATCGCTTTTGCTTCACAAATTACAGAATCGCCATTAGACTAGAAGTATTCCTTCTTTCGCTTAGTTGAGCGTGACCGTAAGTAAACCTCGAGGAAAAAAAATGCTCGTACGAAATTTTTTCCTCGACGTTTTCTTAGGCGTCACGCACGATGGACTAAGCGAAAAAGGGACCACTCGTAGCCTAAATCACCATAAAAACACAACTGCCATAAGACCAGATAAATTAACCATCGCATCAACTCATCACGGCAACCGTACTGCGTTGAGAATTTCAAATGCTACTCGGTTTGCTGTGCTCTTTCCATGCACTAGGCTTTTTTGGCGTGATCGCAATCACACTCCAGCAGCCATTTGGAATTACATTTTGTACAGCAAGAGTAGAAAATGCACATGTTACGTGCGACATTACATTACAAGTGCATTTTATTTCTACAATGTAAAATAGCTTTACTTAAGCATATTTAGGACTAAAGGGAGTTTCCCTTGCAAAATCTNTCCTCTTAACTGATTCATAAAACAAAGCAAGGACGGTGACTCTAAGCGACCTTGTCCCACAAATCGCTTTTGCTTCACAAAGTACAGAATCGCCATTAGTCTAGGAGTATTCCCTCTTTCGCTTAGTTGACCGTAAGTAAACCTCGAGGAAAAAATGCTCGCTTGAAATTTTTCCCTCGAGGTTTTCTTATGCGTCACGGACGATGGACAAAGCGAAAGAGGGACCACTCGTAGTCTAACTCGCCATAAAAACACAACTGCCATGGTGCAGAAGGCAACAAACGTGTCAAATCACCAGAGATTTCTTTAATCTTTATTGCAGTTGATTAGTAGATTCTGAAGAGTAGATCTCTGTGGCTTGGAAGAACTAATACGATGAAGCTTGAATACAATTGAATGTTCGCAATACTGACGCTGATCGCAACTGAAATCGAAACCTAAAATTCTAGTCCTAAAACGAACTATTCATGAGCTGTCATATACAGGAAAACATAGGAAAAAATTATCACGCATTGTTCAAAGTCAGGCATTCTTCGTAAATCACGGGCTGTTCGTGTTCATATTCATAGATCACGCCATTGACGTAGAACTGTTCATTACATGCCATAAGGACAGATAAATTAACCATCGCATCATCTCATCATTGCGCTGAGAATTTCAAATGCTATTCGGTTTTCTGTGATCTTTCCATGCGCTAGGCTTTTTTGGCGTGAT